CAACCACAGATGGGAGTATTTGCTTGTTGAATTCAATGCCAACGCCCTATGAAACATTCAACCACTCTTAACTTGGGGAAATGTTTGGCTTAACATTGTTCTGGGCGCCCCAGATGTTTTTTGTCCTTCTCCCATGTTGTTGTTGCACCAGACTTTGTGTCCCGGACGGAACAAGGTTAATATAAAACTTCATGGGACTCGGATAATGAAATGGGGTGGGGTGGGGCATGTTAACGTTCATGTGCACTTGCGTGGGATGTTGATGCTATGGGTTGTGTTAACGTTCATTTTCACTGGGGTGGGGTGGGGTGGGGTGGGGCATGTTAACGTTTATGTGCATTTGCCGTTCATTGTGCACGTTCGTCACATTGCACTCTGGGAGAGAATAATCCAATGGATCTATCGTCATAATTCCAGAGTATAGCACCGCAACCTCCATGTTATTCAAACGTACCCAAAGTGCCTACGATTTTCTCACCCACCATCAAAAACTTCAGGGTTGCGAAAAGCCGTGTTACCATGTCTTTTGCTGGGCCTTTGTGGCCAACTCAGTTCCCATCAGCCCACCCAACACCCAACACCGGTTAGTGCCGCTCCGCTCGGTCTCGGTCTCGGTCTCCGGTGTGAGAGGCGAGACCAGAAGCCTGCGGAGGCGGCGAGCGGGGCTGTGGCCTTGGGAGCGGGGCGATCCGTCCCCAGGCCCCAGGCCTCCTCGGTTCCACGCCTCTGGTTTTAGTGCATTTTCCAAGCTGCAGGAGCACTTCAAGTGTGCCTTCCAAATTGGAGGGGTCATCACCAAGTTTGTTCCCAGGCCCAACAGAAAGCCCAGACACTCCGCAATTTTACCAACCACCCCAACTGATTGGTCAATCTGTCAGTCCCAGACAGGCCGTGTTTGGGAAAGGCTTCGAATTCACATCTATTTCCTGACTTCCCGACGATGAGACTTCCCTTACGCTCGCGTACGCCGCTCGCGTCGCGGGTGTGGTTCCCATCTCGTCAGTTTGCCTGCCAGGCTGCGGTTATCGATTTGCCACCGAAAGACTTCTCAGGTGGGGGGAATAGCCTGAAAATGGAGGCTGGAATACGAGTTTGATGCTTGGAATAGCTAGCTTTGTGAAGACCACCCAAACAGTGGGCGAACCTCTTCGAGGCTTTTCTTTAAGCTATTCCAGCGGAGATTACAAAAAACAACATCACTCAGTAATCCTGCAACACTCCAAGCATTTGTGAATCAATCCTGCATCCATACCATCCACCCATCCATCACTCGTTCGCCCCCTTGTTTTCCCCACACTAACCGCTTGGATCGTCGCTTGGCCGCGAGTCGCTTGGCCCGGACCATTGCGGCCGAACATGAAGGTATACAACATGCGCTTTCGTTCCTGTGGGAGCCGTCCGATTGGTGGTGGGATGTTCACCCGGTTTCAAGAGAAATGTAAAATGACTGATCTCATCTTATCCAACACCCAGTGGTGATGGGTGGTGATAGGGACAACATGGTCAGTTTGTTTGGAACGTACATGATCATTGATTTGATGGATGTCATCCGTAATATGGTCTATAGGTAGTGGTCTACGTAATCCAGCTTGGGTGATCGGATGGACATTGTCAGTTCATTGTCAGTTAAGCGTCCAGGGCAGCGCGACGACCTTTTGGCCTTTGAAGACTTGCGACAAAGCTTCACGGGCAAGCGCGGAGACCTAAGCGATGCGAAAGCGCTAAGCCACAAGGGCCGTGTTCCCGTGTTCACGATGGCCACGGAACGGATTGATTTGTTTTAAAGCAAGTTTTGGACCTGGCTTTGTTGGGTGTACAGGTTTATACAACATGTTAATGGTCTTAACACGTAGGGGAAAACCCAAGCGCCGAGTCTACCAAGCGCCGAGTCATGACCGGTCGCGGTCAGACCTGCTCCCCACGATGGTCCCCGCGATGGCCGAGGATCCAATCGGCTTTCAGCATCCTTTTCACAGCCAGGCGGAGACGAGTTGGTAATGCGTGGTTTGGGTATATGATGCGAGAACCCCCTGGGGACATTTGAAGCCAAGTCGTTCAGACACTATCGTGAACCGATAGAACTGGAGTTATGTCGGGCACGCCAGCCATAGATACAAGGAGCCAAAATAGTTTTATAAAGCAAAAACAAAGCAAAAGGCAAAGCAAACAAAAAAGCAAAAAAATGTAGCTGTGCGTATTTGTCGCTTTTTTTTCACTTTTTGTTCGCTTTATTTTCGCATTTTTTTCGCTTTATTTTCGCTTTTTTTTCCGCGTTTTTTCGCTTTTTTCCTAGGAGGGTACAGCAAACACATATTTGTCGCTTTTTTTTCACTGTTTTTTCGCTTTTTGTTCGCTTTATTTTCGCTTTTGTTTCGCTTTTTTTTCGCTTTTTGTTTTGCTTTGTTTTTGCTTTTTGCTTTGTTTTTGCTTTGTTTTTGCATTTTCATGTGCTTTTATTTTGCTTTTTTTCACAAAAAGAAATATTTGATGGTTGGCCATGTATGGCTGCCATCGCCCAACATAAAACTGGAGCATTTTAAAACAACAAATCTCACCCGTGTAAGCTGTTGGCCTTGGCAGTCGGCAGTAAAACAAATTGAGATCCAATATAATCTCAATAATTCCTGCAGTTCTCTGTGTGTGTATATCGTCTATTATATTCTATTATGGTGTCGAAATGTGTCATTTTCCAAAGACCCAAACTTAACCATCGTGCTGTCAGGTGGGACTCGCAGGGGTCCTCAGCGGTCTGACGGTCCGCACTAGTGTTGTGTGTCGCAGGTGAGTTTGGATCCAAGGGCGTTGACCCTTGGTTGACCCATGTTGACCCTACCAGGAGTCACAAAGGGGTGGTGTTTAGTCCCTAAGTGAGTGGATCATAGACACCCCTAACCTCCAACAAGCACCCCTTTCTGACTGCTGGTATATATGGCTTACCAGGACCTTTTCTAGTGACCTAGAAGGAGATCCCATTTCATGAGGATGTTGAGATGGTCACCAACTCGTGAAAAGGTCACTGGGAAGGTCCTGCTAGATAATGACGACAGGCATGTTCAGATCTAGACACCTGAACGCCGACCTGAATCATTATGCGGGCATTTGTTGTTAGGCTCCTGGATTGTCCAGCTGCTCAGTTGTGTAGAAATGAAGTAAGTTGGTTCCATGTTCATTTCAACAACTGGCCAAAGGTCGGGTATACTGTGGAAGGGATTTGGATACCTGGATACCTTTATTTCTTATCCACTCGTGGTGGGTGGGTCTTCTGGGTGTTTTGGACCCATGTTGTTTATGGATTTGTTGGCTATGTAGTCCTATTGATTGGATTCGGAGCTCGGGATGGAGCGCCCATCATTCCTTTATGAACAAACATGTTGGTCGATTTGGACACATCGGTCACCAGTGGCATGAAGCCACGCTGAAGATTTGGGACATTCTGGGACTTTTTGTTGATTCTGTTTGCAAACAGGTGGGACACTCATCAACTAGACATTACACTCCGTGGAACTCACATGGTTACGTGGATGGCCTGGCCCCGAGTCTGGAAAACCATGAAATCCACTACAAACAGATGGTTGTCCACTTCCATGTGAGTTCCAGGGAGAGTAGACATGTTCCCACTCAAACCTGCCCAGGTGAAGAACAGACCGTGGATTGCTCTCATGGTCTCGGTCCCTTTGAGAGTCGCCGAGGTTCAACAACTGGAGCTCCATCATCGACTTTGGGAATGGCCCAGCGCAGGACACAGCACCAAACGGGGACTCTTCAGCCAAGCGCAGGACTGCTGAGTATACTAGGACCCACAAGGGGTGGTTAATGGACACCCCTTAACCTCTAAGGGGCTATCAATAGACACCCCTTAGGGTGTCCTGGTATAGACTCTTGATGAATCATTCCCCCCTTTTGGTCGAATCCCTGAGTCGATGGACAAATACGAAAAAACATCAACCGAACATCGAAGGGAATCAAAAGGAAATCGCTGGTTTTTTCGCGGCCAGGAGAACATCGTCATTGCCAATCAAAGCAGACTGAACTCCTTGATCTTCGAGGTTTACAGGCCAATAGATGGGAGATGACCTAGAACCTTCGCGAGTCTAAGACTGGGGATCTCCACACATTCTTGCAGATGGTCTATAGATGTCTATAGGCTTAGGGTTTTGGACTGACTGACTCCCAGGTGGATTACGTCCGCGCTTTCAGGCGCACAGGAGCTGTGCAATCTAAAGCGCCAAACGGGTGAAGGTCCAGGTTGGTGATGTGTTTCAGGTCTATCAAGAGTATGTTTCAGAGTGGGACATCCGATGTGTTTTTGGTTGGTCAGCTGCAGAGCTGCAGATGACTCCGAAAAACGTCAAAAGCGTCCGGCGTTTGGGTTCGTGTTTGGCTCAGAGTCAGGTGCTTTGCTTAGTCTGTGCTCGTTGCATGTTCTTCCACCTTTGGGCGCTGCTGCACAGCGCCGTAGCAACCGATGGATGCAATGCTCCCATTCGGAACGCCTCTTCGGCGCAGTCTTTACGGGAGATCCTGATGAGCATGCCCAGAGGTGGGGTCTGGGGCTGTTGGTGGAGATGGTTTTGGGGAGTCCCCCCGAACTTTTGAAAGACTTGGCCCACACACTCCATGATGGACTGGCGGCATAGTTGTACCTATAACCCTCTGTTTAACCACACTATGATCACCAATGCACGTACAAAATCGTAGAAATAAAACCATAGTATATATATTTAATATTTGGAGTCTTTGGGTTGGAAGGTTTGGTTGGAATCATCTCCTCGACTTGGATAAAGACCACATTTGTTTCAGGTCCATCTACAAGTACTACTAGGAGCCTCATGGTCTAATTCTTCGGTAGTACCGAAGCTGACAGTTGGAGCCTTTGACCGAGGTAGGTGGCTGTTCGTACCCGGTTCCACCCAGCGCGACGCCACGCCCAGCTTGGCGTGGAACCAAGCCAATGGACAGCTTCAGGCTATGCATTCTTTGACCTTGATGAGACCTTGGCCATGCCCAGCACACCCTTCATCTTTGGCATGCCTCAGAGCGATGCCTTTCTGAAGCGTCTCACTGCTTGTGAGGAGGAGGCAACCAAAAAGCCGAGCTGTTCCAAAGCTGTTCGCTGCAGACCAACACGGAAGAAAAGGGGGAGGTGATCATTCCACAAGGGTCACACAGTGTAGTGGAATTGGGTAATCCGCTTCTGTTGGCTCCTCATCGTTACGGTAGGTCTACAATCCCCAGACACTCCATATATGGCGTACATACCTGGTTGAAAAGGGGTCAATGTATCTAAATATGCCAGTCCCATCGGTCGTGTTTGGGGTCCGGATGCTTATATATATATATATTAATCTGTGTGTGTGTGTGCTGTTCTTTTTGGAGGCCATGTCCTCATTGGGCTCTCGTATGGAAGCGGCCTACTATGCGGCACCGCTTCAGCTGGTGGATCAAACCTTGCCGGCCCTGGTGCGGCACTTGCGCTCGGAGGGCTGGGCTGTCTATGGCGCCACCTCGCGAAGGACCGGCGAAGCTCGCTGAAGTGCTGCGCTGGGTGTGTTTATGTTGTCTTAATATTACTTCATGATTTTAAACCTTTACCTGGAATGATTAAACCCACTCACTCATATTTTTCAAGCGAGCTGAAACCACGAACCAGTGCATCTGCAGGGCTTCCCCCAAAGAAGTTGCTGGCAGTGTATGTATTTATCGGGGAGCCTTCCCGTTTGACCTTCAACGTCGTTGTTTGGAGGTTCTCCCGCGCTATTCAAACAAAAAATGCCCATACACGACCGATGGGACTGGCATATGTGTGTATGTTCAATTGGTTTTGTCCTGTTGCCTGTAACCGTCGGCAAACAATTATCACTATTTTTGAGAAAGACCTTTACTAACCATCATCATCCACTGTTACAGAATGGGATATACCCCTGGGAGCAATTGTCGCATAAGGACAGTGTGCCATATGACTGGCATAGCTGGCTGCTGGTGGATTTCTTACTGGAACATGGTCTTCACTTCACACCACTGTCAACAGAAACCGTGCACCTGGGCAATGCCACTAGGGCAGGCGGAATCTTCTTCGTGGGCGGCGAAGAGGTGAATAAGGGTCATGTCATTCATCAAGTCGTCCCAGCAGGTCATATGGCGGTGCTCATCGACAACACTTATGACAAATTACTGCGAGCTCGGAGTTCCTCTTCCTGCAGATTTCAGGGCGTGCATTTCACGGCAGCACACGGGTTAGAATCAGATGATGAGTCGAGGCAGCGGTGGTTGTGTGAGCAGCTGGCCCAGATTGGAAGACGTTGCAAGTCCTGTGGCCAAGAGCTGTGAGCGACCTCCTTCCAACAGCACGAGCCAGTGGTCATGTGCAGCCTGGGTCACAAAGAGATGTCTCACTCCAGCCAGTTCCTGTCGCCGTTGCAGTCACTGAGGAAGCAATTGCCTCGAGTCCATATCCCAATTTCATGCACGATGCATTTGCAGCCTGCGTGAACTAGGGACTGGATCGGGCTTCACTCCAAAAGGAGAAACCAAATTTGGTTTTGGTTGACGCGGTTCGACTGAGGCAGATATTCTTGCCCCAGGTGCTTCTAGGTAGCTTTGGATGAATGGTCAAGCACCTGAATCTCAGATCGGTGATGTTGAGCCCAATGTCCTTTGATTTTGAACTCGGTATCACGGATTTTGGATTCAGGTGGTTCTCCAGTTCTCCATTCCAAAGCCTTCTTCATTTCAATCGTGAACGCCTCAATGCAGTGAGGGATGCTACACGGTGCCTTCTTTACATACTGTTTGAGAGAATGTTTAGAGAGAACGTCCAGGCCATGCCAATTAGGAAGGATCAGCTTCATCATGGATCATGGATCCATGCACATCGTTTTGCTTCTGAACTGGATCGTCTTTCTTTGCGAGACGCCCATTCCGCGAGACGTTTCGCTGCACCGCCGTTGACGTGCATCTTAGCCTCCGTGCTCATCACAATGGTTTCGTCTTTGCCCAGATTCGTGCATCTCTGCGAAAGTCAAAGACGGTCACTTTGAGGAAGCAGATTTAGGGTCTCCCCCAACCAAGTTCCAAATGGGTTCGGGTCGGGTGGATGTTCGTCGTCTTCGGGTGGATGTGAGTCGTTGTGCCCTGCGCGTTGAACGGCAGCGGGCATCGACAGGAAGAAGTCCTTGACACCCCACAGATCCTGCCATAGGCCGAGCCAACCCCCCAAGAGAGTCTTTGTTTTGATCAACTGGATGAACTGAACTGTCTATTGGGAAGTGCAAAGATGATACCCCTCCAAGAATCATGGCAGTCTTGGTTCATCCATGGCAGTCTGGGGAGACGATTCCATGGCAGTTTGGTCGTCCACTTCCATGTCATGTGAGTCAGAGTGTAACATGACGATCAATTGCTGACGCTTACAACCATCCAAGCCAGCTGGTGTGGCCCTCCCGAGCCCAACAACAATCCAAGAAAAGCACCCTTATACACACCAACCCCATTCAAACACATGTCGCAAACGATCCTTGGTTCTAAGGGGATGGATTGAACCCCCTCTAGGGCACTTTTGATCCATAGAGCCGTATGGAGAACATCTGTCCCGGAGCCATAGAACCTGATTAACGGATTTTGTTGCTCTGGATCTTGCTGCGGTCCCATGCAGTGCAGGATTCTTGGGCCATTGAAATGATATTCCCCCCTATTCGGACCACATGGAACACCCAAAGCCGCTAGCGGTTGTAGAGGGAAACCATGGAATTCCGCTGCCACCGGTGAATTCTCAGGGTCAAACGGGATCGTTTGCGGGTCCATCGTTGATCCCCAAACGGCCCAAACGGCAGGTGGGGCGAGCGCTTCGCCGTGGTCGCGCCTGCCGTGCTGAAGCTCCACGAGACCTGCACGCGCGAAGACTCAGACGAAACGGTTTCCGCTTTCAGAATCGATGGCGCAGACCATCTAAGATGTCCTGCAAAGATGGTGGCCATAGGGACTGTGCCATCTACTCTGAAACCATTTTCTTTTTTGTGGGTGGTGTGTAGGATGTGGATGGATTTGGTGCGCTGGCAACCTCAGAGAGAAATTTTGAAGCAGCACAAAAGGTCCAGAGGCCGCCATTTTGTTCACTTGATTTGAGGTGGGGGCTGCGGGGCTGTGTGGAGGTCCATTAAAATTCTGATATGGAATATGTGTGGACTATTGATTTTGGCCGGCCAATTGCATTTGTTCTTCAGTGTGTGTTGGTGTACCTACTGTAAATTAAATTGACAAATGAGGGGACTCACACTTAGTGGTCTAGCCTTTTCAGCCCCATGGCAGTTCCTTTTGTCGGCAACGAGTTCGTCGCGGTCACGAATCCACCGGTGTCAGTCCTCGTTGCTGGTTCCGTTCCTGGAACGCCACCGGACCTACGCCAGCTCACCGCGCGGCGTAACGCGAGGTATTTATGTTCGATCTCGGAGGATGGGGTCATGTGCATCCAGTGCAACGGCGAGATCATCGGCGCCCCGGTGGATGCGAGCGACATGTTGTTCGGCCTTATTTTTCGGGCAGGAAGTGGAGGAGTGGCCTTGTTTTTGTCTTTCTTTGGGTTGGGTTCAGACTGAGCCAAGCAGATGCGAACAGAGCAGCTCGGCAGGTTTGGTTTTGATGTGGGCTTTTGAAGGGTCCTTTGGTCCCCAAAAGATGTTGGGCAAGTTTGCTTGCCGACTCAGACCACAGTTAGGCTAGGCTAGCCATGTTTAATCAACGATGTGTTGACTGAATACCCAGTTTTCTGAAACTACAGGAGCCGTAGTTAGTACAAAGCGGGTTCCAAGAATGACTTAAAGATACGGAACTCTAATTGGTTGAAACCTACCCCACACACAGACCTTGCATGCAGAACACCCAGAGCCCATGGGTGAACGCAGCTCATCATCCCTGACCGAAGCCCCCCGGAGGTCAACGCGAAGATCGGTACACCCTCCACCCCCCGGGCGCTGCTTGTTCGCCGCCGTCCGTGTCGAGGTCAACGGAAAGGAGTCCCCAGCGTGGCGCCCATTGCAAGGCTACGTGGAGGGGTGGAGGGCTTCAGAGGGGGGGGGGGGAGGGGCTGGTCTTTGGAGGGACGCTTGATCCAACGAAGCGAGTCATGTTGAGAATCCCGAAGTCTCCGGTCCTGTTTGACGTCAAAGGCAAAGGATCTTCCTGGAGGGAGTACTCAAAGCGAAGACACGCCAGACATCGCAAAACAGCATCCAACAGTCATCCAAGCGTATCTAAATCACCAGTACTGCATTCTGCACACTAACATGGTTTCCACTTCACCTCAGCTGCATGCAAGGATCCGTTGAGAAAGATCAGTTTCAGTCGATCACGGGGACGAGCTTTTGTGGTGCCCCGTGGTGCACCACGGACTGCGGTGGTTGCAGTGTTTTCTCCAGGCGCTTGCCCAAAAAGGGGGAACTGGAACCTGAAGCATACAGATCGATCTCTTTGACTCAAGATCACAGGAATACAACATACGGCAGGACGTTTTGGTGTTTTTCATCCCGCAGGACTTTTGGTTGAGACCATGTTTGTGCAGATGTGTAGCGTGACTTGTTACTGGTTGGCGAAGAAAGACAGGAGTTAAACACGAAGACACTAATTCCACGACCCAGTATGGGGTGTCTAATGAGAACTCATTATAAGAACCAGAGAAATTCAGGGGTGTCATGGGGTACGTGTCATTGTTCCATCTTGCTCGGCCGCGACTTCAATCGGGTCACCAGGTCAAGCCAACGCCCAGGTCAGACCTTACTTCGGAAGGGGATGAAGCTATCCTATTTGAGTTCAGGTTCTGGTGGTCCAACCAGGACCCTCACCATTTCGGCCGGTCGTGTTTGGGTTCGCCACGGTCTCCCACCATCTCCCACCGGAGATGCCGTACCACGACCAGGAAGTACCTCTACGTTGGGAAGTCCTGTTCGGGAGCCCGAAAAAGCGGAAAGCTCCAAGGGATGGCTCGGGAATCTACAGAAGGCATTACATTCTTGACCAGCACCCTCCTGGCCAGCCAGGCTGTGAATCTTGGGACCCGACCCTCCATTGCTCGCTTCTGGGCACCGGACCACAGCCACTTTCGGTGCTTCACCAAACTTGGATCTAGGATGATCTAGGTATAGATGGTATAGAAAGTCCGTCGGATTTTCCCTAAATCCGCTTGGTGTGTTTATCATGTCTTCAAGCAGGATTTGTGTTCCGATCCAATGATGAAGGATGAACCATTGAATCGAAATTCGAAACACCATTTGCTCCATTTGTGTTGAACATGACTGGGCTTTCCCCGTCAAACATGTTGTGCTGTCCTAAGTCCTGGCAGACAGGCCTTCGTGTTTCGTAAACCAACAGAGGGACCTTTCTATAGACAAAAAAGACCATAATTGCCTCAGCACTCAATGGATCCTTTGAAAAACCGACTGGCGCACCAATTCCAATTTTCAGGCACAAATTCCCTATATCTCCCTTCGGATGCTGTGCAGTACCCGCTGACATGTCAGGGCTGCCATTGGAGGCATCGAGAACACCTTGACAGTGGGTTCAGAGTAGATGGCACAATCCCCAAGAGGTGGTATATATCAACCCCCATCTGAAGGACAATGTAGAGGTGCCAGTGCCATCTACTCTGAAACCACTGCAATTCATTTCCAGGCCTCCAAGCCGCGTCCTTTCGCATTAACAGGAAAAACGTGCGATCCCCTGCGGACCCGCAAAAATGGAGCCTGAAGGGTCGGAGAATCCACTTCCACCAATCTTCCGCGCAGGTTGGTCCGAGCGCGACATGTTCCACGGCAGCGTCCAACAGCTCAAGGCGGCGTGTTATAGAGAGAGCGCGCGGGCAGTGCCCGTTGGCGGGCAGTGCCCGTTGGGACTGGCATGAGCTGGTTGGGACTGGCATGTTATATGTTTATAATTGTTTATATTTGTATCATGTTTATAAGCATCGTTGATCAACATTTGGGTGTTGTGTCTATGCGGTCAATGTCGGCATCATGCGGCATCAATTGACAGATTCGTGATTAAGTAATCCCATCGACTTGGATTGGAAAACCTCTTCAAAATCTTCATATGACATAAAGGGGGGGTTTATGAATCCAGAGTCTACATTCGATTCTATTCCATACCATGAAGTGTTTGGAAAGGCTTTGGGAGCCAAGGCTTTGGAATGGTTTTATGATGTTTTATGCATGTACCTGTAGGAGGTCCAAAGGGCCATACTCAGCGTTCTTCCTTTGTGTGAAAATCATGAACAGTGCATGGCATGCTCATGGCCATGCTCATGGCGCTCCGCTGGCTTTGCTTCGGGTCAGATGAGCCCT